GAGTTGAGGAACCCGATGGAGGGACGGCAGGCCAACGGCGGACGTCATGTCTGAAGCGGTTGCCTGGGGCAGTGCGGGCAGCGGGCTGGGGAGAGCTGAGGCGGGAGCGATCAAACTTCGAGCCTGTAAGTTCAAGCCGCTGGACATATAGCAAACCGTGTCCCTTTTCTTTTTTTTTTGGTCTCAAGGTTTTGGACTCTTACAAAAAAATTTTTGAAAAACATTAGCCAGAGGCTGACTAGCGCCACCCTGGGTCCCAGCTACTCGGAGGATGCCGAACCTCAGCATCAAGGCTGCGGAGCTCGTGATCACCACCACCTGGGGCATGCTCTCGCCCAGCCTGGTGCAACGAGCATCCTGTCCGAAAAAAACGTAAAAATTTTAACCCCTAGGCGCAGTGGCTTCAACCTGTTATCCCAGCACCTTTGAGCCGGCCAAGGGTGGGGATCACCTGAGCTAGGCGTTTGAGACCACCGGGCTGAGGCAACACTACTGAGACCCTGTCCTCTCTAAAAAAATAATAACCCAGATGGGGGCACCACACTGATACGTCCCAGCTACCCGGGGCGCAAGCCAGGAGGAGGCTTGAAAGCCTAGGCGGTCAAGGCGGCAGTCGAGCTCCGATTATGCCCCGCACCCAGCCTGGCCCAACCCACGAGAAGCCCTGTCTCAAAAAAAAAAACAAACACGAAAAACACCCTGATTGTACTGGATAATCAATTTCTTATAAATTATATGGATATGTCAGCAGACACAAGTGGCTCACAAGCTGATAATCGCACTTTGGGAGGCCAAGTGAGGGTATGCGCTGAGTCAGGAGCGTCCGAGCCAACCTGGCCACATGCGTGAAACCCCGTCTCTTACTCAAAAACAACAAACAACAAACTTACGCCTGGGCGTGTGTGGCGGTCCTGTCACCCCACGCTACTCCGGGCAGGCCCGCAGCACGGAGAATTGCATGAGCCTGGGAGACGGACATGTGCAGTGAGCAAGATCATGCACTGCACTCAGCCTGGCCGACAGAGCAAGATCTAAAAAAAAAAAAAAGGAAAAGCAACTTTGCACACACTGCGCTTGTTTTTGTTTTAATCTTCGGAGCCGAGTTTCCTGTTCAGGGGAACCTGACGTGCGTCACGTCGCGCAAGCACGAGCGCCTGTGCGGTGTCTCAGTGGTGCTGCCAGCGGCTGGTTTTATTCACACTCACTCAGCCAGACCAGAGCGAGCGGGAATGAAGCATTGACATCAAAGTCCATAAGATATAACTACTTTGAAACAATGAGAAATTTACAACTATTCTCCAAATTATGGCACATTTTGAAGAAATCAAGAATTCACTTTAAAAAAATGACCCTGCTGGTTCTGCAGCTCTGCTGCTGCAGCCTCACTCCTCGCTTCATACGATTTTAAGGTTCTTAAACTGGACCCAGAGACGTCGCAATATGGCCGTGGTTGCCATAACACAAAGCGGGACTGAGAATTCTGTTCTCGCTTTAGTTGACCAGCAAGTCAAGTCCCTGTCGTCGGTCCTGTCACGGTACCAGGGTTTCAGTGGAGAAGATGGCGGCAGTAAAAACTGCTTCGGGCGCAGTGGCGCCGTCCTCTACGTCCAGGTGAGCCGAGACTGCCAGAGCTGGCCCTGTCCCTGTTGTTCTGGATCATCCGGCTCCTGGGGGCCACTGTGTGACCCACGGGGCCCCTGTGACTTGACACCCACAGCCAGGAAGCAGCACAGTGGAAACAGAGGCTGGCAGACAGCGGGAAAGCAGCCCCACCCCTCGAAGCAACCCCAGACAGGCATTTGTACCAGGGTCGCACTACGTGCGTGTCTAGTGAAAGACTCATGAAATGATTCTCTTCTAAAAAGAGGGAGCCCACGGCACGCACACTTCCTCTGCCTCTGGCCCTATGAGCCGCCCTCTGACTGAGGGAGGCCACTGGCACCCAGCGGGCCTGCATCTCCTTTGTGAACTGTTTCACTCTTCTCTTAGATTAGCTGTTTTCCGGTTGCTTCAGTTCACCCTAATGTTTTAGAAACACTATTTGAAAAAGTCCTTTGTGCAGTCAGAAGGGTGTGTACCCAGCCCCATGAAACCTCTGGAGCTCTGGGACCTTCTCCTTGTACTCCAGAGCCGTCAGCAGAGGTGAGTGGGGCGGGCAGCCACCCGGCACAGTCTGCTCTTCTTTCCTTAGCACTCGCTTCAGGAATGGGTTAAGGCCACCTGTCCTCACTGCTCATAGAGCTCAGCTGATGAGTGCCTGCTGTTTCCCAGGTCCCCGTGGGCACGCTGGTGAAGGAGGGAGGCAGAGTCGTGGCCGACTTGTCTCGCGTGGGAGACGAGTACATCGCCGCACTGGGCGGGGCAGGAGGGAAAGGCAACCGCTTCTTCCTGGCCAACGACAACCGTGCCCCTGTGACCTGTACCCCTGGACAGCCAGGACAACAGCGAGTTCTCCACCTAGAGCTCAAGACGGTGGCCCACGCCGGGATGGTAGGTGTCCCCACTGCCAACAGCATTGCACACACTGAACTCTAGAAAATCCACTGTTCTCGATGGGGATTTGCCAGTGGCCTAGAAGAGAACAGCTGTGCGGCTCACCTTTTTCCCACCTGTATGCTGCCGACTTCCCTCTTTCCCCCAGGTGGGATTCCCCAATGCCGGGAAGTCCTCACTGCTCCGGGCCATTTCAAACGCCAGACCCACCGTGGCTTCCTACCCGTTCACCACCCTGAAGCCCCACGTCGGGATCGTCCACTATGAAGGCCACCAACAAATAGCAGGTAGAACTTCCAGAATTCTCCCAAAGGTTACGTTTAAATGACATAATTCAGAAAAATAATGATGTAACTCTTAAATTTAGCTTTCTGTTTAAAATGTAGCATTGTTGACCGGATGTGGTGGCTCACCCCTGTAATCCCAGCACTTTGGGAGGCTGAGGCAGATGGATCACGAGGTCAGGAGATTGAGACCATCCTGGCTAACACGGGGAAACCCTGTCTCTACTAAAAATATTCTACTAAAAATACAAAAACCTAGCCGGGCGTGGTGGCGGGCACCTGTAGTCCCAGCTACTTGGGAGGCTGAGGCAGGAGAATGGCATGAACCCGGGAGGCAGAGCTTGCAGTGAGCTGAGATCGTGCCACTGCACTCCAGCCTGGGTGACAGAGCGAGACTCCATCTCAAAAAAAAAAAGAAATTCCAGCCCTGAGGACAGTATTTCTTCCCACTCTGTCTGTGCCCCTCTTTCATCTGTGGAAGCTCAGCAGCATCACAACATGTGACTTAAAAGCTTTCCTTGTGCCGTTTGAGAGAATAAAACTTTTTCCCAGAAGACAATGTGCCCATTAAAAATAGTAAGCCTGCCGGTAAGGTTATTTGGACGGCACTTTTTATCTGCAGAGGACTCTACAATAATTTCTGTCAGTAATCAGATTATTAGTAGAGTACAGGCAGCCATTTTCCTCTTTTTTGAATCCTATTTGAAGCAGAAAGAGAAGGTATTAAATGTTCCCTACTAGATGGACCCATCGCCATGCCGGTCTCCCAGACATCTCCCAGCACTGAATTCCTCGGGTGTCAGTTGGCCCAATGAATCACCCAGGTGCTAAATCAAATGGCTTCAGTTCAAGTTGGTCCTTGAAAGGAAAGTGTTAGAACTCAGGAAATCCAGCCTCCGCAGTGGGCTCCAGGCCTTCCCTCCCAGACTCGAGATGGAAGGCGCTCTTGGTGCTGGCTGGGCCGAGTGGTCACCTCGTGTGCCCCTGTCTTCCCTGCAGTGGCCGACATCCCTGGCATCATACGAGGCGCCCACCAGAACAGGGGTCTGGGGTCCGCCTTCCTCAGGCACATCGAGCGCTGCCGCTTTCTCTTGTTCGTGGTGGATCTTTCTCAGCCTGAGCCATGGACTCAAGTTGACGATTTAAAATATGAACTGGAGATGTATGAAGAGGGCCTGTCTGAGAGGCCCCATGCAATCATCGCAAATAAGATTGACCTCCCTGAAGCCCGAGCCAATCTGTCCCAGCTCCGGGATCACTTGGGACGGGAGGTCATTGCGCTGTCAGCGCTGACTGGTGAAAACCTGGAGCAGCTGCTGCTGCACCTGAAGGTGCTGCATGACGCCTATGTGGAGGCCGAGCTGGGCAAGGGCCGCCAGCCGCTCAGGTGGTAGCCATGCCAGAGCGGGGTCGCCTCTGGGCCTCCCTGTCTGAGCAAACCTGGATGTGAACGAGGTGGCTTTGAATGCATAAAGAAAGTGCCTTGTGGACACATGGGAGTTGTGGTGCTTCTGGGTCTCTGGGGCCCCGCCTGCTGGCCTGGGATGTCTTCAGGTGGGGGAGCATTCTGTGCCCCCAGCCCGCCTGCCCTCCGTATTTCCTGCGTCTGTCAGCATGCGCCCCCAGCCCGCCTGCCTTCTGTATTTCCTGTGTCTGTCAGCGTGTGCTGACTGATTAGCCAGTTGGCTCCTTTGTGCTGATTAACACCCCTAATGAGGGGTTGGGGTGCCCATGACAGGGTAGCCCTGCCGCTGACTCGGGTCTCCGCCGTGCACGCATGGACTCTTGGGTGAGCTCAGCAGAACCACACGGCCAGAGCCCCAGGTCAGAGGTGCAGACCCAGGTTCTCAGCACAGTGCCCGTCACGCTTCCATGGCTTGCTACGGAGAGAGACCTCTGGATCCACATTGGGGTTGGGTCTGGCCCATTGTCCAGCAGCCCTACAGTACAGCAAGCCCAGGCACCAGTGTCTCAGGGAGGCTCACTGCTGCACAAGGGGTGGGGCCGAGGACGCAAGTGCAGGCAGAGCAGCGCAGGCAGCTGTGTGCTTTTCTCCATCAGCCGTCTGAGAAGAGCAGTGAGGCCAGCTTCTTCCTGTCCTTCAGAACGCTGTGCTGTGCTCGGTGGGAGCCAGGAAGCCCCAGGCTTCACGACTGAATGCACCCAATATCCGACCCGGCTGCGTGTTTCTGGCTGGGCTGCCGTGTGCACAGCAAGTTAACTAAAGGGGGTGTGGGCCGTGGAACTGTCAGCGTTATTCCCGGAAGGCAGCCATGGCCTAGGCAGGGTGTAGTGAGGAGTGGAAGGAGACATGTGCCTAGAAATGTGGGGCGGAATTTCCACTCGGCTTCGTTTGCTGGGGATTTAAAGAGAATCTTTGTGCTGCGCCAGGCAGTTGCCAAGCCGAAGGGAGACGATGGGCATCCCTTGGTGGGACGGCAGCTAAGGGGGCCTTGCGTTTGCCCCTCGAGGCTGCCGCATCACCTTTTCTGTCCATGGTTTAAGTCTTTGCCGTCAGGGATTGATGCATCCGAGCCAGGCCCATGCCTGGTGTCTCCCTGACTGCAGAGGGGCCACAGGGCAAGGACAGCTCAGCTGCTGGCAGCCTGCCTGTCCCATAGACGCCCCCCAAGTAGTCTCTGACCTCTGACATGTCCCTGAGGGACCCCTAAGAAAGAAAGTGGAGGGGACACTCCAGAGGCTGACGTGGGAGGATTGCGTGAGCCTGGGAGGTCGAGGCTGCAGTGAGCTGTGATTGCACCACTGCACCCCAGCCTGGGTGACAGAGCGAGACCCTGTCTCAAAAAAAAAGAAAAAGAAAAACAGAGCATCCTGGGCTCAGTGACTCACGCCTGTAATCCTAGCACTTTGGGAGGCTGAGGCGGGTGGGTCACGAGGTCAGGAGATCAAGAACGTCCTGGCTAACACGGTGAAACCCCGTCTCTACTAAAAATACAAAAAATTAGCCGGGCGCGGTGGCGGGCGCCTGTAGTCCCAGCTACTTGGGAGGCTGAGGCGGGAGAATGGCGGGAACCCGGGAGGCGGAGCTTGCAGTGAGCCGAGATCGCGCCACTGCACTCCAGCCTGGGCGACAGAGCGAGACTCCGGCTCAAAAAAAAAAAAAACAACAAAGTGGAGAGGACAAAAAAGCAGAGAAGGATGATCAGAGGGGGACCCTCAGCCCTTCCAGGAGAGACAGCAGCCTCAGGTGAGATGAGCCGCAAGGGTCCTGGGCCGCTTCTCTGCACGCTGGGGTGGGCGCACCGCACAGTAGGCCAGCGCCTGGGCTTTCAAGAAGAGCAATTCCGTTTTGATCTCACATCAAGTCTGCAGCTAGAACATGACAGTCCTTTCACCCGAAGCTTTATTTTAATGTCTTATAATTTCAAAGGTCCTTCTATCCTAGAAACCAGGGATGGGTTTTGCATCTATTTGCTTTTTCTTTCAGGCCACCACAAAGGATTTTGTGGAGTCAACCCAGGCCTGAGAGCGTTAATTACCCCTGGCTTTCATCTTTACGCTCTTGCAGGGGGTTGCTCAAAATGCCTGGTGGCTCGGCCTCTGCACGGAGCCCCTAGCCCAGCCTCCCCGTGGGCTGGAACCTTGGTCTAGGCCTGACTCTGGCTGCTCTGGGGACAAGCCCTCGTCCTTTGCTGAAGCTGAGGCTCCAGAGGGGGAGTCACCGCCACGAAGGTTGCCCAGAACTTTCCTTGCTGCAGAAAGCCCCAAGACTTCTCCCTGCCACACACACAGCTCTTGCCGTCGCGTTCTAGAAGCTGACAGCTTTCTCTCCAACACTGTCCTCCCTGAGTATGGTAAAGCTACACTTGGCTTCCCCAGGAGCTTCCTGCCTAGAAACAAATTTTTGCCACTCTGCTTTTCAAATGGGATATATGATTCATATACCACAAAATTCACCACTTTATATAATTCAGTGGTTTTTCATATGTTCAGAAGGTTGTGCAACTGTCACTGCTATTTCCAGAACATTTTCATCACCCCAAAAACCGACCCAGTCCCCGTAAGCATCAACCCCCTCTTCCCTCTCCCCCGGGTACCCACCCATCTACCTTCTGTCCACAGGGATCTGCCTTCCAGACAGATCCTGTAATTGGAGTGTACGCTATGTGGCCGTCTGTGCGGGTCTTTAGTAGCCATGCCTGAGGCGGCCGACACTGCGGTCCTTAGTTACAGAAGGGACCGCGGGTGAAGGTCAACCCCCCACCGTCAGCATGTGTGGGCTGCCTCGGACACAGGGTCTTTGTGTATCCCCAGTAGCCTCAGAACACCTGACCCAGAGACAGCGTCAGTAAGCACTGGCGGGGCAGGTGCACAGAAGATGGTGTGAGCACGAGGAGCCTTTAGGCTGCTCCTAGTTTGAAACTACTTTTTTTTTTTTTTTTTCTTTTTTTGAGACAGAGTCTCGCTCTGTCACCCCGGCTGGAGTGCAGTGGCCGGATCTCAGCTCACTGCAAGCTCCGCCTCCCGGGTTCACGCTATTCTCCTGCCTCAGCCTCCCGAGTAGCTGGGACTACAGGCACCGCCACCTTGCCCGGCTAGTTTTTTGTATTTTTTAGTAGAGACGGGGTTTCACCGGGTTAGCCAGGATGGTCTCAATCTTCTGACCTCATGATCCGCCCATCTCGGCCTCCCAAAGTGCTGGGATTACAGGCGTGAGCCACTGCGTCCGGCCTGAAATTTTGTGTGTGTGTGTGTATGTGTGCTGCCATGGAACTGGGCTTCTACAGGGGATGCTCAGGGCAAACTCCTCTTTGCCCGTGTCCAAGTGGAGGGTGGCAGGGCCCCAGGGCACCCAGACCCCACCCGAATTGCCGCAGGAGAACTGCTCGAACCCAGGAGTCGCAGGTTGCGGTGAGTGGAGATCGCGCCACTGCACTCCAGCCTGGGCGACAGAGTGAGACCCTGTCTCAAAAACAAAAAACAAACAAAAAACCCTAAGTGGATTCTGCCGTGGGGCGTGTGGCCTCTCAAGGCCAGGGAGGTCGTTCCTGCTTCGTCCTCGGCTGGCGGTGGCAAGGCTTCTGCCCCTGCCCCGTCTTCACGTAACTTCACCCCGTGTCTGCCCCTGCCCCGTCTTCACGTAACTTCACCCCGTGTCTGCCCCTGCCCCATCTTCACGTAACTTCACCCCGTGCGTGTCCTCTTATCTTCTGGACCCAGTTGTGGGATCTGGGCCTCTCTAAACCCAGGATGGCCCCATCTTGAGATCTTCAGTTACATATGCACAGACCCCATTTCCAATAGTGATATTCTGAGGTTCTGTGGATGTGGATGGGGAGGCATGTTGTTCAATCCCAAGCCACGTCCCTTTCCATCTCTTTTTTTTTTTTGACGGCAGTGGGTGGGGTGCAGAGTCTTGCTCTGTCACACAGGCTGGAGTGCAGTGACGCAATTTTGACTCACTGCAACCTCCACCTCCCAGGTTCAAGCAATTCTCCTGCCTCAGCCTCCTGAGTAGCTGGGATTACAGGCGCGTAGCACCATACCCAGCTAGTTTTTGTATTTTTAGTAGAGACAGGGTTTCACCATGTTGGCCAGGCTGGTCTCGAGCTCCTGAGCTCAGGTGATTCGCCCGCCTCGGCCTCCCGCAGTGCTGGGATTGCAGATGTGAGCCTCCATGCCCAGCCCCCCTTTCCATCTTGCTGTCGTGTGTGCTTCCCGGCACACGTGCTATGCTGAGTTCAGTCTCATGCAGGGCCTTGGCCTCCTCACCTCGCCAGTGCAGCGGCTCTGCCCTCGGGTCCACCCCAGGTCCCGCCATGCCTGTCACCTCCACCTCTGCCCTGGACAATGGCAGTGGCCTGCTAACGGCTCCCCTACTTGGTGCCCGGGCCCCTCAGTCTTCCCATGTGGCTGCGCCAGGGAGCCAGGCCCCTCACTGGGAGTCCCTGGTGCCCACAGCACTGGCCCCATCCCCCCTTCCTGTGTCTCGGCCACGCTGAGGCTGCTCCCCAGTGTTGCTGATCCCTGTGACCGCGTTCCCTGCCCAGACACCCCGTGAAATGCCCTCTAATCAAAAAGCCAAAGACAGCCACACCCACTCTGCACAGCTGGGCCCACCACCCTCTGTATGTGCACTTTCCACGCTATTCACGTTAGCCACCATCCCCCACCCTCTTGCCTGTCCTGAGCTCCTGGAGAACAGAGAACTCGTTTGTGCCCAGTGCCCAGGTTGGCGCTGGCCCCAGGAGGGAGTCCTGAAGGGCAGACATGCTGAGGCAACTGGATTTTCTCGTCAGTGAACACACGGGCCGGGAACCTGTCCTGGTGCCACTAAAAAGGCAGCAGAGCCGTGGGGTGCAGCAGTGCTTGGCGGGGGCGGGGGCAGCTCTGCACGCATGGCGTCTGCCTGGGGACCGCAGGTGTCAGGCCAGGGAGAGCCAGTGCTGAGAGGTCACACATGATGGTTCCCTCTACAGAGTGTTCCAGAAACAACAACGAGGAGAATGGATTGGTGGTCCTCAGGGGCTGA